AAGGATCGTAGCCTGCCTGAACAGAGAAGAGGAAGAGACGGTCTTCCCACATGTAGGATTAGTGTGGTTAAAATTTCAAGACACAGCATAAAATAAGACAAAATACACATAAAACAAGACCAAAAGTAGATATTACCAGAATCACCCCGTCATTGTCTTGCTTTTATGAAAAAAATATGAATAAATATTGATTTCATTTGACAGATGTGAGACATTTATGTCTAAAAAGCTTTTGCCGCAGTAACATTTCCTGGAAATCCACCTGGTTGCTCTATAATCGTTTAGTTTATGAGTTACATATCAGCTGGTCGACCCGGCAGATCCAAATATGCCAAACGAGACATTCTGCAGAGCATGTTTAACGCCACCAGACCTTATCAGATCCAAGGGGTTACAGTCTCTATCTGGGTGAACGTTCAGCTCATTCTGCTCTAAACACTGACCCAGGATCAGCAGCATAAAGCCCCTCTCGGTTCCTTTCTATGACCTCCATCACATCGCATCAGATCAAGATACTGAAAAACAGCCCACAGACTCCCCTGTTCACCCATCCTCACATAGCAAAGCTGCCAAGTGCACCCTGAGAATGAGAGCAGCTGCGGCCAAAGGAGACAGCTCCCTTAGCAATAACTAAAATATTCCTTTCTTCCACCTCTGCTCTTTGTCCATCTGAGAACAAGATCACCTCCCTCTGAGCTCATTAGACTAAATTCTTCTGGATTTTATGCTGTGAAATGCCCTCTTCGCCGTCTACACACCCATGGACATCAAACAGCTGAGGAGTGAGCGTTGGATGACAGAACACAGAACAAAAAGCCTCACTGTTTCTACTCACTTTGCTGTTCTGTTTAGTAACTTTAGAACTGTAATTTATGTAATCTGACAGATTTATAACCTTTGCTTTCTTTAGATTAAGTGTCAGTGTTTTCTGCAAAGGACAAAAGCCACGGTCTTTAGTCTTTAATTCAAACTCAGTTCTTAAATTAAAACTGCAAATGTATATTTTTATCAGCTGTAGTTTATCTGGACTTATTTTAAGTGTAGAAATGAGATTTTGAGCCACAGTTGGATTCTTTGTAACGAGATGGCAGCAGCCTCAGCGTGAATAAGTGTCTTGTTCATGAGCAAAATCCCCAAACTGAAGAACTCCATATTCTTTCTCCACAGAAACCAAAACTCTTATTAACCTGAACCTTATTTTGATGTCACCCAGACTCCTGACATCAACTCGTTTAAGTGTTGGTGGACAAGGTGACAGGATAAGAAAGACGCGGTCAGCATGGAGGACATGGGTCCAGATATTTAACTTAAAATCTCCTGTCAGTGTTTTGGAAAGTCACGCCGGATCTGTCAGACAACATTCCAGCATTTGATTAAGGTTTGAAAAACAGTTCCCAAACCCGTCGGTGGGACTGACCACATGCATCACCAATCATTTACAAACCATCACGTTTGAGCTTTCCTGTCATATTTATGCTAGCAGCAGGAGGAGTTCACCCAAGGTAGGAAAAAGCAGCCAGTGTGAAGCATATCCTTGAGCAGGTCAGTGAAAGCAAGATTAAGTGTTTTTCACACTTGGGATTTGAAATCATGCATTTCAAAAACAGTCGGTGGATTCTAAACTAATACATTTTGGCTAAAAGTTAAAAACAGGCTGTGCAAAATCTCACAAAACCTCTGCAGGAGCATAAGTAGTGAGACGGGCAGCTTAATGGGCTTATCAGCTATTCCATTAAAACTGTTCCAGCTGATTTTCCTGAGAACTAAGATGGTAGAATAAGATGGTGCGTGAATTTTTTATTCTAAATCCGGTCAAAATGTGTCACATCAGTTTCTGCAACAATTGTCACATTTATGGACTTCCACCAACATTTAGCTCAATAGCTGTTAAAATTGACTGAGTTACAGCCGTTTGACTTTTTAACAGTTGATTGGCTGTGATGGCCATCTTTAATTGAGTTGACCTCAAATGTTGGTAAGTTATAGAAGGCACTGCAAACGTAATTATATTAGATCAGCTGTAAAATATGAACTTTTTTATTTGCTACCAACATAAACCCAGATTAGACACAAAGACAACAAAAACAGCTCCATGTCGCACAACTTTAATAGAATATCTTAACTCTGTACAAATTGAAAAGAAATATTGCGCAAGTAACAAATCGCGAATAAGAACCAGTTAAGGCCATTGCCAGCACACAGTCCCATGTGGTCGGTTTGAAGATGTCAACCGTGGCTTAGAGACATCTGTACAAGACTTACAATCGTGCTTTTTGAAAAGAGAAGGGGAGTGTCACTACGATCCACGACCGCTCATCACGCTCCAAAGCCACGTGCAGCAGAAAGTATACATTGGCACCCTGTTCTGTTACGTTTTTCCTCTAAACAGACATTCCACTGAATCATTTGACAACAGAAAAAAATTTATATATGCTTAAATAACTTTAGCTGAATTAGGATACATTTTGTTATTGACAATTGGCAAAACAGTTTCAGGAAACAGGAAGGTGTGTTTTTACATTTGGCTTCCTGGCAACAAACCTTCCATTTTATTCCAGCTTCCTGCACCGGTTCGCCTTCTAAACTCTCAGTGATATTAGTTAAGATCTAGATTCAAACAGGAAGTGAAGTAAACAAATGTAAAGGGTTAAGGGTTAAACATGGCTTGGGGGTGTCAACACCAGGCAGGAGGTCAAAGGGCATTTTCAGGGAGAAGTATTAACACCTTTTAGTGTCATGATCATAATTACTACTGTTAAGTGCTCGGTTGAAATGCTTGGTAAGTCCAAAGAATCTGGGCAGAGGTGAGCAGAAACAGTTTTCTTTTTAACCAGCTAATTCCAGCCTGTCCATGAAATGTTTACACAGCTTGTTGACATTAGAATAAACTAATGAAACATTTAAGAAAGTAAATTAAATTCTAATCGGTACGCTCTTGTTGAAAATGACCAAAAAAGCTTATCGATATCGCCCGACTCATCCAGCAGTTTCCTGATAATTTCACTTTGCATGTAGGCGTTAAAAACCCTGAGTAACGGACTTGAGCTTGTTAAACAGAGAGAACCATTTCTTTTTGTCTATTTCCGTATGATAATCTGAGAGTTACAGTAGAAACTTGAATTAAAAAAGAAACTGTTTTTTGTGATGCCATGATAATTTACCTACAAGTGGAGAAACTTCCTGATTGAATTTTAAAGAAGGCAAACAGAAAGGGGGGTGAAACGGGCGCAAGTCGGAACAAAATGAAGTCATGCACATAGTAAAAATGCAGGTTTGCGTTCTATTGCATCCTATGAGAGTTTGTAAAAGGGCGGAGTCTCGTGGACACCAGCTCTCCACCTCTTCTGATCTCCACGGTTACTGTTGTTTGCATTCAGCAGGCTGAGGCTGTTCTTTCTGCAAACATGGAGAGAAAACTGGATCAGCACGACAGCGAGGAGGATGAAGCCATTCAGCTTCTACTGGTGACTAGAAGAGGTGCGCTAAGAGAGTAAATGATAGAAAATGAAAGCACCTGGTAGAAGGTAGGGGTTAGAAGACTTGGTTGGTTCGCTGGAGTTTATGACAATTAAAATTGCGCCCACATTTTCTAAGTTAAACACATTTCTTTTAACAACGGTGGTTTCTGCTTCAGCCCTCTCCCCCCTCCCCCCTTCCATTTTCTGTTCCTCACTTCTGATTACCTTCAATGGTGTCTGGTTGTTGTAACCACCAGGTACAAAAACTAACTTGTTTTTATTTGACTATTTTTCTGTCCTGTCTGTTTATTATCATCCTGCATCTCCTCTCAATCCTAAAAACTGCTCCGGGGCTTCATATATATTCACCTTATGAGTTACCTTTGAACTGAAGTTCTAAAAGATCTACCGACCGCAAAAACAGCGGAGTGCTCGCTGCGAGCTGGCCGCACCGGTGACGTGCGTCACCGGTGGACAAAACAGGTGATGAGCCCTGCTCTACAGCAGCGAAAAGCATCAGGCACAAATAAAGGACAGAAAACATAAAAGGAAATGAACAGACATGAACGATCGCGTGTTAAATTTGTTTTCGAGGTGGCGACACCTGATTTGATGATGTTACTGTGGCCGTGCTCAGGACGCAGATGTCTGGAGCGCGTCAACAATCAGAGCTTTGCATGCGCAAGCTGGTTGAGGTTAGGATGGGGGTGAGGGGAAGGTTAAATTGCAAGAGGGTAAACGTCACAATTCGGTCAAATGTCCGTTTTACGGCGGGCGTCAGATACCGACGCTCTGGCACAGCGCGTCGCCTCCCAACGCGCATGAGCTCGTCACCTGGTGTCTTTTCCGAGGAGTGCATCTTGTTGGTCATTATCACGTGACAGCGACTAGTCGATGAAAGGCATAAAAAGTCACTACAGAGCAGTGAAGTCGACTAGTTGATACAACCCCTAGTACAGACAAAGAAAAACAGGCCTTTTGTAGCCAAGCTAGAGGTTAAAAGCACCCTGAGCTACAGGGAAGTCAGATACAGTAAATGTAAAGAGAGGAGGAGTTTTAAACCATAGCCGCTGCAGACAGATGTGTAATAAACACGGGTTGTTCTTCTTACTTCTCCCTTACCTAGAAATGCATGGGATGAGAATGTTTGATTATGCCTGTAATGAAGGGAAAATCCAGGGAGAGGGAGAGAAAACAGTGTGAAAAAGTTTAATCATCATGTTTAGAGATGAAGGTGAGCAAACACAGTGAAACACTGAAAAATTACTAACTGATGAGCTAACCGGAGGAATGGAGAGGAAAACTAACCACAACAATCCAAAAAAGACGGGATGATTTACTCAGAACAGAACCAGCAAAACCACTAATAAATGGCTTCTCCTCCACGTCATAAAGTGACTGAAGACCACAGGAAGTGGAGGAAGTTCCTTTGTCCTTTTATGTGGCCGACAAAGTTCACAGAACTGCTTCTATAGGTTCTTTTAGCTCCAATCATAAAACATGACACTGTCTGAGGTACGTCACAGACCCAACCTAACTGACCTTGGGGTCAAAGTCCCCCTCGTCGTCATCTTCATCACCATCATCGTCTTGCTCCTGAGGTACAAAAACAAAATGATTTAAAGTTATAAGAACTGGTTGAAGGTCTGATGGTGACGCAGACCATCTAGATCTGACAAATCGATCATTACTAACATTAATTACGTTGACAAAATATTTGTCTTTTGTGACCAAAGCATTTTTGCAAATGAAATGAAAACTAAAAATATACATCTACAAAGGCTAAATTACTCATGAAATTAGATGGTAAGAAAACAGAGAAGATGGGAGAACAGAAAACAGAACCATCAGCAAATGAAACAGGCGGGACTACACGAGAAAAGAACCAATCAGCGGGCCGCTGTTTGAACAAGACCTCATATAGGGAGCCTAAAGCTTGGTTTATGCTTGACGCATTTACTTTCCGCTTGGTGATGCGGCTCGCGGATGGAACCAGCTTCACAACTTGCAGCGTTTATGGTTCATGCGGCTTGTCTCTGCGGTGAGCCAATATTCTCCCAAACTGTAGGGGGCAGCATGGAGCTCTACGGCATGCATCCAACACTACACCATAGTAGAAGTAAAAACTGTTGTTTACAACTTGGCATTCCAGCATTTTTAACAGCGTCCTCGTCTTTTCCGGCAGTGCGAGCTATTTCTCTCCAAGAATTAATAACATGTTGATCACGGTGTTCTGTGAGAGCTGAATCATACAAATGTCTGTATTTACGAACCTCTGCCATACTAGTTCTTGCCGGTCCGCCATGTTTTTCCGCGTCCGACCGTCCGCGTGGTTAGAAAATTTCCTAGGTGCGCGATGCGGAAAGTTTGGGCCGTGCGGAGGCGCGGTGGAGGGGCGTGGTTGTTAAAATGACGCAATTTTGCCGCGCGGAGCCGTGCGAACCTCGCGGACGCGTCAAGCATAACCCAAGCTCAAGTCATTTCTGCATCATGGGTCCCTGGAAGAATGAAAAAAATGAATGCAAGTCAATGGGGCTAAAAACGCTATTTTCTAATTCCGCTTGTTTTGTGCTAGGGATTTCACACATGATGGCTGTGAATTTTAAAGATGAATTTAGATACCAAGAATGCGCTTTTTTTCGAACGGGGAAAACGCTATTTTACGTTTTGTGTGAAAATAAGTCCAGGACTACAAAAGCGCTTCACGAAAGTGACGTCATTGAACCAGACACGGAGAAAACTGAGGGAAAATGTCTGTAAGTTCAGCAAACATTCCACAGGAGGAAAGAACCACCATAAATCTGGTCATGTGGTAAGTAGCTGCTACACTAGGGGAGGGGAGATTATGTGGTGACGTCACATATGCGACATGCCGAATTCTAGTTTGTAGTCATGCTAATTACAAACTTTTATAAGCTGATAAATCTCAAAGTACGTGACTGACGTGGTCGAAACACCCATCATTAGTTTTCATTTAAATTGCAGTACAACATATGTGCGATCCAGGGCGTAAGGCAAAGCGGATTAGAAAATAGCGTTTTTAGCCCCGTTGACTTGCATTCGTTTTTTGGTTCTCCCAGGGACCCATGAGGCAGAAGTGGCTTAGGCTCCCTTTATTGATGACCAATAATTTATGTCTAAACGGAGTCATGTTTACAAATATTACTGTTCAGATTTATTTTATTAATATTGAGAGGCACAAATCCAAACTGTCAGTGTTAATTTTGGTACCGTTAATGGTTGAAATGAAAACTATTTTTCGAGTTTTATTGATCCAATGAAACGTTTCAGTAGGTGTAATTAACATTTCCTTTACAGATGAAAAATACATTCATTTCAGTTTAAAATTAGACTAAAATTAAAACAAATTGTATGACTAAAATGAAAAATTATTTTTGTCAAAGACCAATACTAAAACTATAGTGGGTATGGAAAGTATTCAGCCATTTGCTAAAATCAATTAAATTAATTTTCTCCTCAATGTGGACAACAGAACCCCATACTGACAGAAAAACAGAATCTCAGACATTTCTTATTATAAAAGAAAACTGAAATATCACATGGTCCTTTGCTGTGACACTCATATTTAACTCAGGTGCTTTCCATTTCTTCTGATCATCCTTGAGATGGCCCTACACCTTTATTGGAGCCCAGCTGTGATTGATTATACTGATTGGACCTGATTAGAAAAGCCACACACCTGTCTATATAAGACCTTACAGCTCACAATGCACATCAGAGTAAATGAGAGCCATGAGGTCAAAGGAGCTGCCTGAAGAGCTCAAAATTGTGGCAAAGCACAGACCTGGCCATGGTTGCAAAAATAAATCTCTGCTGGACTTAAGGTTCTTAAGAGCACAGTGGCCTCCACAATCCTTGAATGGAAGATGTTTCGGACGACCAGAATCCTTCCTAGAGCAGGCTGTCTGAACTGAGCTACCAGAGGAAGAAGAGCTTTGGTGAGAGGTAAAGAAGAAACAGTCAGGAGATGGGAGAAAGTTGTAGAAAGTCAGCCATCATCACTGCAGGGCTTTATGGCTGAGTGGCCCATCAGAAGCCTCTCCTCAGTGCAAGACACGTAAAAGCCCGCATAGTTTGCTAAAAGACACCCGAAGGAATGATGAGAAATAGGGTTCTCAGGTGTGATAAGACCAAGATAGAACTTTTCAAGTCGTATGTGTGGAGAAAACCAGGCGCTGCTCGTCACTTGTCCAATACAGTCCCCACAGAAGCATGGTGGTGGTAGCATCATCAAGTTCAGATTCTTGTTTTAACTCAGAGTAACAAAGCCTTTGTTTACCTTCTGCTAACAAATTTCTGCTCCTCTGAGAAGAGGCAAAGACAGACATGTTCAGCCACATGTTTCAGTCTTGTCCTCAGCTCTAAAGACGGAGACAGAGAGAGGATATCCTGTGATGGGGGGCGTTGATCTGGGGGTCTCCCACAGAAAAATGTTGGTAAGCAGATGTCATTTCCCACATTCTAGTGTTTTTAGCAGGTTATTTAGAATTAAATGGTTTTTAAATAAAATTAAAAATTAACGGGGATCTTAAGACATTCTTTACCCACTGTCTATTAAAAATTCCTGTCAAAATGAACACAGATTACTAACCTCTTCATCTCCCTCCTCCAGTTCCTCCTCCTCAAACTGGAGTAGAATGAAAAAACAAGTCGTTACAAGCTCAGCTTCGTTTGTAAACCTCCCATTACTTTGTGTTTGAGTTTAGGGAAAAAAGACTTACGCTCTCATCATCCTCCATGGCCTCGCCAGTGAAATACAGAACCGCTCTTGGAACTATTCTCTCACGAAAGAAATGACCGATCTCAAAGTCTGTTGCTAGAGAGAACTCAGAGTCTTCATCCTATGAAACAAGAAAACAAAATGAGTTAGAGGTGCAGAAAATAAAATACATTTAAAAAATTAATAAAAAAAGAGAAATAAAAATTATCGCTTGTCGTCCAAATCACGATTCTTATTCATTGAGATTCTGAATCAATTCTGTCCAAAAGCCTTTATGTAAACTGTAGTATTTCTGAGCAAAAATCGACACATTGCATTTTCTTTTCTTATTCTGTCTGTCTTGCACGCACACACACACGCACGCACACACACACGCACGCACGCACACACACACTTACTATGAGCATTGATTATGAATTGATTTAAGAATTGAATAGCCAACCTGAGGATCTGAATCAAATTCAATCCTGAGTTGTTTGTAAGATTCACACCCCCTAATGAGTTACCATAACAACCAATGTGACAACAAAGCTAAAAAAATCTAATGAAGATCAATTATACATTTTACTCACCATTTCTCCATCTGGTGAAGCTGCAAACGACAAACAATGGATCATCAGCACAGTTTTACAAAATGTTGAGGTCAAACTCGTTACAACAAGTGGATATTAAATCTGCTTTAGGAAATTCACCAACTGGAAGCTCATTTAAATAAGAAGTTAGCACCTCATCATGACAACACTAGGTACCTTTCGTGTGTGTGTTTGTGTGTGTACATTTCTAAATCTGCACAGCCAGTGAGACGAGCGTTTTTGATAAATGCAGTTTCACCAAGGGGAAAACTCCACCTGCCAAAAGTGGAGCCAACCAGGAAGTGACAAATTGTAGTCCCCCCCTCATTTCCTAGGTGCCATCTCCAAATCAGAGCAGAGACTCGTTGCCTCCCGTGTTAAAAAGTGTAAACTTCACAGCAGGAATAAACACGACTATGTCCTGGTACAAAAAAAATAAAAACATTTTGAGTTGTTTACAGTCATGACAACTCTTGGGGGGGGGGGGGGGGGGGGTGAATTTTTCTAACTCTTCCATATAGGTGTAATATAAATGACTGAAATTATGAATAAATAGATTTGATTGACAAGCAACATGAGCGTCAGAGCTAGCGCTAGTGGCTAGCTCCAGGGAAGGCCGTAGCCTTGAGTTTAGAAGTTTTCGGCCATTTTGATTCTCTAAACGTGTCCTTTGTGTTAACGTTTGGATATTAATCAGAGTTCTGACTGTAGCAGAGCTCTGCCGCCAATCACCAACCGCTGTAGAGGAATGAAGCATGGGCTCACGCAGCCTGACGCTGTGCTTTTTACCTGTGGAGCTCACGGTGGGAGACCACAGTAACTCCGCAACTTGGTAACTTGATGCGTGCTTAATGTTTGAGTCCCTCAACCATGATTTTTTGACTAAAAGCACCAGCACACCTCCGTTAGCTTCGGTTACCTCAGTTATTTTGTAGCTGGATGCAATGGCGGAAAAAGCTCCTCAAAATTCTGCTCTCAGCTCCACCTCTTTGCCCATTTTTGTATTGTGCAGGAGTGTTGGGAGGTGTGGCATGGCAAGATGGCGGTGAATGGAACCACCCACAAGGCTCACAGAGGGTTTGTCCATATTTATATATATTTTTTAATAGTCCTTGTGTTTCTAAAAAAATTTTCTGCACTAAAACTGAAAGGATGATTCAGTTCTTTGGTAATTATGAGTTATCCCAATAAAAACACTGCTTTTATTGCGACGCCAGTCTGTTTCTGCTACTCTATAATCAAGCAGGAAAAAACAGCCGGTCCAACAATGAAACAGGTGAAACGATGAGTCGATCAACTTTACAGAAGTTCTGTAGGTGGGTGATGCTTATTCACCCCCAAATCTCAGCCATCAGAGCTGAAAACGCTCAGTCATTTATATTCACGAGTGACACGCCAAGACCACAGCTGAACCAGTCAGACAGACTCACTCAAATCAGCTCAGGTCCAGGCGTGTTTGATGGGGTTAAAAATAAAAACAACAAAACCCAGAAAAGATGATCCAGCCAAGTAAGTTATGAATCTTTTAATTTTGGAAAAATCAGTAAGTGAGTGACTTTACTTGCTCAGTATGGAATTAATAACTCAAAGGCTTGGGTCAGTTACTGAGTAACTTAGCTGTGACAAATGAGGGTAAAGCCAAAGCTGACATAAAAACTAAGCTACGCTGCAGAACAAAGTCCAGCTTCAGGGAGAGAAAAAGACTGGAGGAAGCACAGAGAGCTGGTGTCTGGCGCCACCTTCTGTTAAGTTTAACTCATTTGAACGTTTTATTTTCACTAAATGCATCATCTGGCTCTGACTCTTAGTCCTCAAAGCAAACACATTTTTGAATTTCAACTAAAACTTGCTTTTTTACTGCTGTTTGATATTCCAACATTAAAAATGAGCAAATAGTGAGTTTGCTGTTGCCTTCAACACATCTCTTACAACACACTGGCAGTGCTTGCATCACTACTCAATGTACTCAACTCAGATCACCAGTTATGTTACAAGATCATCAGCACAACCAAAATTAGAGCTCTGTAGGACAATATTTACTCAGGTCCCACAGAATAGAGTTGACAACTGATTATAAACAGATCTTATTTTATGTTTATTTTCCTTAGCAGCAGCAGCAGCAGACAGATGCATGTGAAATACCTCTCTGTCAGCTACTTCTAATATCTGCTTAAGAATTTTGCACTGACAGATTAAAAAATTGTTATGAATTGAAAATGTTTAAGATAAGAAGCCTAAATATAGTTTAAGTCTCCTAACAAATATCATTAAAGATTCAAGTTAAAAAGAAATATTAAGATTTGCCATCTAAATTAATTTTCCTCGTCACCCATTCAGTTTGATCCTTTCCTCTCTTCTGATTGGTTAAGTTCAGCTCAAACTATGTTTGTGGCTAAAATAAGCTTTAGATGGAGTTGTAAGTCAAGGTCTGAGCTAGTGTTGAGGGGAGTAGGACTCATTTTCATTCATTTATAACTTCTGACTGATTTCAAAGTGCTGCAGATGGTTTCTATGGCTAACGCTGATTTCAGAGCATGAACACTGACCCATAAAACTCACATCTGAACTTGGCAGAACACAAGGTTACAATAACACTCATGCACACATCTATTCCTCTGGAGCCTGTGTGGACACAGCTGATACAGATGGACCAGTACTACACTCCGTTATCATCCTCACACTGGTCTGATCTCCAGGCTACAGATTATAAACTTTACATGGTTTAATCTAGAAGACAGACTAATGTCAGCCATCAGCTGTTTGTAAAGGAAACAAACGTTCACGACATTTTTGTAGCCACCGAGCCAAAATTCACACCACAGCTGAAGTTTCTTAGTGATGTCTTTCATTTTTTGTTCATGTCAGCATTCCTGACTGCCAGTAAGTTTCATGATTTAGTAAAAAGATCCGTGAGTGTTTGTTTTTGTGTCCCTTCTCACCTTTGATAGGGTTAAAGAAGTTGAAGAACGAGTCATTAGGGACCTGTTTGGTAACGGTGCGGACGACACCACGACCTTTATGCTTCTGCTTCTTCTTAATAGTTTTCACCGTCACATCCTTTCCTTTGTGCCAATCTATCTGACATCTACAGCGGGGCAGCGTGCAAAAAGAGAGAAGATACTAAAAGAGGAGGCCTACATGGGGGAGGCAAAGCCAGAAAAGTACACAGACTGTACAAGTATGTTTTACCAACAACAAGTTCTATTAATACCTAGAACCAAATCTGAAGAAAACTGTTAAAAGCATTTCAGTGACACTCACCCATCAGAGTCAATAATCTCTGGACCTTCAAACGAGAAAGGATCTGATGGGTCTGGCTCAGACTTCATTTTGTAGACTTTAGTGAGGACTGCATTGTTGAAGTAGCCATTGGGCTCAAAGTGGAACTCTAACGTAAAACTCTTGAGTGAAAAAAACCAAGAATGTAAACAGGCTTTTAACATTTAGACGTGTGCAGCATTGTGATGATGCAGCTGAGCGCTGATACTGACCATCGGCTGTCCAGGCTCAGAGAATTTGACTTGAATATCTTTCAGGTGCTTTAAGATAGCCTCGTCATGCTCCTAATGAAAAACAAGTCATATTAGACTCAAAACTCTGGTCAGAAATGTGAAACTTCCTAATAAGATGAAATGTTACCTGTAGCATGTCGCTGAGCATGTCCACACTCTTGAAAATAGTGAGCCAGAACTCTGGGATGCCCTTCTGGTCTTCCTCTGGAGTTGCTTCCTCCTTCTTTGCATCTTCAATGGAAGCCTTTTCCTTTACTTCTGCCTATCGATGAGTTAAAAATTAATGTTAGCTACAGAAAGGAACAGTTTTACTTTAATACAATAATAAAATGATTGTGAGTTGGTAGCTTATCATCACAACAATCATTTAATGTTGATGTCAGTGGTCAGCATCCTTAATAAAACACAGCCAGTCAAGATTCAAGGGAGAAAGCTGCTGTCCATGTTGGTAAATTAGAAACAGAATGCAGTGTGTCCCCTAGGAATTGTTCCAGCTGTGGTGGTGGTGAGGGTGTGTGTGTGTGTGTGTGTGTGTGTGTGTGTGTGTGTGTGTGTGTGTGTGTGGGTGGGTGGGTGGGGGTGAAATTATGACACGTCTCACCTTTATGTTAATATTTTTTTTATTTGATGCACTCCACTTTGAACTGCACCAATCCAGCAACTGCTGCATTTTAATAACTAGTATTAAAGGTGAATACACCAATGTTTGCACAAGAATAATTTCTGTTTTAAACTCTCAGTGACACACATTTTGCAGGGGGGAGTTGGCATTTAATTTTTCTTGGCGTCTGGAAAAACATCTTCTTTTGCCCCCTTTATTTGACTTTCTGCCCCTTTTATTTTGGTCCAAGATCATTACTGGGCCGGCTCTATTAAACACCTTCTACACCCCTGCTTAGCAGACGTATTTTTAAGCCAGTATAAAAATGACTGAAACACAAATTTACATATTTGGCATAATTGACCAATATCTTTGATTTAATTTATTTGTTAAGAACATCAAGATGCATTCGAGTGAACATTATAATAAAAGTTCATTTTTCTAGTACAGAGAGGAGACAACCCATAGAAGCACTGATTTGATCTCATTGCAGAGAAAAATAGAACAAATCAGATGCACCTAATAAATAAAATTACTAACAAAACCCAGGATTCTGTTTCTTTGCTTCACTGTTCTGGTGCTGAAAACATCACTAATGCGGATCAAAGGAGATACACAGATGAATGCACCTCTTATTTATTATTTGGAAATTAGAGGGTGTGGTTTACATCAATCCATCATTTAAATCTGAAATTGATATGGACTGATCAGAAGTTGTTTATTTATAAACTATTGTTTATTTGAAAACTATTTACAAAGCAGCCTCAGAATTGAGATTCAATATTTTTGATCACAATAGTAAAGGAACTATTACAAAACAAGTTTTCAGTAAAATCAGAACATTATTATTTAAGTGCATGAATTAATACATCTGAACTCATGCAGTAGGAACTAGGAAATATGAAATACTGGAACCAGACACAACTATTTTTTTAATTTACATTTGATTAAACTGATTTTTTCCCAATGTTGTTGGCATTTTCCCCACACAGTTAAACAAAACAATGTTGATTAAGGTGTGTGAGAGAGAGATAGAGAGGGAGACAGAGTTATAATAATTAAAAAAAAACCCGACCGAAGCAGAGGCAGTGACAGACGCATGCACGAGCAGTTTTCAGCTCTGTCTTGTCAAATGCACCACGTACGTCACAAAAAAAGTCACTTTAAATATTGAACTGAAAAAGAGGCGAGCTGAAGAAAACGTAGGGAGTACTGAGGAAACGTGGGCTACAGTGAAGCAAGCACAGAGAGATCCGTTACTGTCTGTGTGTGCGTGCGTGGATGCCTGGGCCGAGCTGACTGAGCTCCCGGCTGCAGAGTTTTGTGTGTAGGGAGGGGCGGGCGCTCTATGTGACTGGCCAATCACAGAGCGTGAAGACAGTCAGTTACCCAATGAGGATTTTCCTTCAGCACGATTACAGATATTTACGAGTTTTACACTCGTTTCATGCTCGTATTCGTCAAAAATGCTTTATCCGTACGCTCATCCCTAGCTGTAACCACCCTGCCCTGCCTCCTCCTCCTTGCTGCCTGCCGGCTGTGACCACAAGCAACAACACAGTAGTTCCCGCTGCTTCTTCGGGAAACGGTGCAAAAAAAAAAAAAAAAAAACATTTAAAAAAATAAATTAAAAAAAATCAATAAAACTTGGGATCTTGTAGGTATGGCGGTAGGATTTCAGCCGTGGCGGCCCGCCACGGCTACGCCTATGTAAGGGAAACACTGGAATGACTATTTGATTGCAACTAAGGATCTACAGCTTCATTTGATTTTCAACTATGTTAAATATGTGTGAGTCAGAAGTGAAAGTTGTAGACTGAACACCAGAAATTAAAGTGATATTTACAGCTAGTTCCTCCTCTTCGTCCATATCACTCTGCCATTCGCACTCCGCATCTGTAGGTTCCACTGTTCCTGTGATGATATCTCGTCTCTGTGACGAAACAGGAAGCAAGGAAAGATCACTCATTTTTGTGCTCCATGTAAAGAAATTTAAAGACTGAACATAAACTAAATAAAAGGCTGAAGAAAATGATTTGGGTATGCTATAAAAGACGTGCACGTTAAGACATGTATTTAGTCACTGTAAATTATTTCCAGCTAGACTGTTGGTCACTGAGGAGAATGACACACACATGTGACTTAAACACAGCTTGAACAGGTGCAGCAGGATTGCAGCTGCCACTCTCCAGTGTATTTAAGAATGGCACAACCCTTGTCACTATCTCTGGAAATAGCCTTGACTGACAAAAGCCCAGCCAACTATTCGTTATGATAGTTTTCACTCTGGCACCAAGGCTTCCCTCTAACAAACCTCAGATTTGTCTGTTGAGACAAACTTCCTTTGGTGCTGCAACAATGGTGTAAATTCTTATACATATGAGTGATTAACATGAAGATATTTCCCTAGTTGTGCCGGAAAAAACAAAAAAAAAAACTTTAAAGCCAAGCGTTATGAAGCATAAAAAACACAGAAGAGTACCTTGTCAAACAGCGGCTGATAAAGAGCTGCGTATTTTCTCTCGAGCTCATGAACCTCTTCGTAGAATTTGGCTTCTATGTTAGCACACTGTGCCTGTAGCCTCTTCAAGGCATGCACTCGCCTCTTCACAACTTTGGGGAGCATGCTAAAGCAGAATAAAATACAAGGACTTAAGAAATGCAGTCTTATGAAAAATACTAATATTGTGGTAACTTTTTAAAAAGGTAAACTAATCCTGCACAATCTGAAGTTTCGATGGTAAAACTCTAATCTAGGGTTTTTTCAAAGAAACTGACAGTTAATGTTATATGTAGATCTAACAAACTATTTTACCGTGCAATAAATTTAAAATAACTCGGAAATATATTAAGCTTTCAAGTAGGCCTGGGCGATAAATCGATTGAATTAATTTGAATTTTTTGTTGTGGGCGATTAAAAAAAAAGGTAAACCGATTTTTTATGTAATAGCGCCTTTTTGGCACCCCAAGCTTCCGTAGCGTTAGTTTCACATAACCGCGACGACAGTTACAGCACGTACACGAAACATCAACAGCAAGCGACTCCATGGCCACCAGTGAGAGTGGGAAGCTTGTTCCTAAGAAAGGAAGGAAATCATCTGCTGTTTGGAACTGGTTTGGGTTTGCGGCAATGCACGTGGAGCATGGCACTTATACTCCAAGAGGGTGTTCATTATTCATCTCAGAAATGAGGGTTACATTTGTCTTGTTTGTGATTCAATAAAAAACTAAATTGGCTTTAAAGTGCCTTCCATTTGAACTTATTGCTATTCTCAATAATTGAGGGGAAGAGAGAATCGAAAACAAATCGAATAAAAATAATTAAATCTGAGATTTTATTTTTAGGCCGTATCACCCAGCCCTACTTCACGTCTTAGGCCACCTGCAAATATTGCTCTGAGGTACTTCTTCACTATGTAAGACTAAGTAATCTTTAAGAACTACAGCAAAGGAATGCAAAAAAGCTACTTTTTCCATCGTTCTGTTAATTTGTCACTGATGTTGAGAATAAGATACATTCCATCAATGGAATGAAATGCATGTATTCCAAGAAGCACCTTCATATATACACATGAATAATGCACCGTCAAATGAAAAACACAATGGTGCTAGAAATATTAGAATATAGTGCAAAAAAATCTTTTATGTCAGTAATTCATCTTAGACTGAGAGACCATTTAGAGCAGGGGTATTCAATTCCAGGCCTGGATGGCCAGTATCCAGCACGTTTTGGGGGTTTCTCTGCCCTGACACACTTGATTCAGTGGTTGAATCACCCGTGCAACACCTCATCAGGCTCTGCAAAAGCCTGTTAATTACCTGCCGATTTAAATCAGGTGTGTTAGGGTTAGTTTCACCATTTAAGTTTAATTACTGAAATAAAAGCACTTTGAATAATTTTCTAATCTTTGATAATATCTATACAATTGCAATATAATCAATGAGTGATCATTCTCCATCTGTAGCAAAAAATAAAAGTAGCAGAGTCAACAAGATACTCTATTTGTTCAATATAGACCAAAGAAGCTGCTGTTTTATTAAACTGGAGTAAAACACAAATGAAGAAGTTAGTTTATTAAGTATCATCAGCACAGTGCTACCGTTAGGGAGGGATGATTATTAGAGGTGTACAGAACCCAGGAAGTCGTTTTTAAAACACAGGAAAACATTGTATTGTAAAAGTGTAAAATACTTGAAGAGTAAACTACCAAACCCTGTTTAATTAATTAACAAAAAATAAATAAATAAATAAAAACTGTCAATGTTGCCTTATAGAACAGACAGAACAATGTGATTGATGTGTGGGGGGTTTCAATTGTAGAATGGGAGACCATATAAATCTGTGTTCTAGTCTAGAGTCAAACTTAAGCCTAGTTTATGGGAAAAATAAACATGCAATAACCTTTCCACAAGATGGGCGCTTGGAGGTTTGTCCGTCTGTCCACCTGGGTTGGGCGTCACATTATCTCCTTTAGCTGGAACAAAAGTCATTGCAAAAATAAACAAATTGTGCCTTTTGTATCACTAAAATTGTGATACTACGGAACCGGCAACAATTAAATTGAATTTTGATATACACTAATTTACAATTGAAAAGTAGCACAGTCTAAAAATCATTCATAATGACACCTTTATGACCATCCTTGAACAAAATATATTTTCATATTAACATTTTAAAGATGACAATAAGTCAAAACACGGGGAAACACTTTCAGTTTAAGCTGTGTATGTGTATGCATCAAGTAAAATGTTATACCTTTACTGACATCCATGATGACAAAGTGTCGGCACCTTCCTCTGTTAAAACAAATAACAGTTAACATGAGCTGTAACAATAATTTAGCAAAATGCAGAGAACGAGTATGCAACCAACTTCCCCAAGTCTTGACTGCGTTCAGTCGGTTTGCATTTCATCAAACCCTTCCGTGAAACTTTGTAAAATTGCGACAAAAAACGACGGAATGGCTAACTAGTTCAGCTAACTGACAAATCAACACCAGTGTTGACAGGCTGTGTCTGGTCCCAACGGCTTAGCATTTATCATCCGCAATACTATGTAAAAAAAAAAAGTCTAGTAATGACAGTGGCAGGCAGTCGGCCTCCTGATAATATCAAGTAAATCTATGTGCTTTCATCAAATTAACAGCAAGCGCTTAACATTAATCGAGAGATAGTATGGGCGGTGCCAAATACCTCAAACTGTTAGCCAGTGTAGTGGAGAAAAATGTACCATTAGCGTTAAATCGACCCTTTCATGTGAAGGGCATTTAAAGTCTCTTGTAAAAATTAAACACAATAAGTGTAGGAGAGTCAAGCAGACTCGTCTATGTCGGTACTAATTATGAACGAGGTTACCTGACTTTGTACGTAGGACAGTACTCTCCGTGAAAAATCGGGATGCTTTCTTTGGCATAACACAGAACTAGTTAGCTTACTAGCAAGAAACTAAGAAACAGCGTGCTACGAACAATGCTTTCGCAATCATCACGTGTGCGAATGGGCACTTTACGTTTACAATGCTGAATGGCAAAATATTATTTTTAAATTAGATGCTAAAGGGAATTGACCTTATATCATATGGCTTAATAGAAGAAATATCTAATAGTAGAATACCGCTACTCCATCGCCGTCCAAAGCTAATATCTAGCTACCGTTAGCTTACGGGTTCATAGAGCACCAGCGTGGGAGAATAATGACACAAGTTCGTGACAAGACTCGTGTGGTCAATGAACAACAACTGAATTAATAAGTAAATAGTTGTCATAGTTAAGTATTTACTGTTCCAACGGGCTCACCTCTAAACGAGCCGAATTCTCGCTGGTTTTCTCGTTCACGCGTCTTCGCTTCTTCCCCCACGAGCAAGAAACACACGCGTCGCAGTATCCGGGATTCTGATTGGACAGCTGGCGGAAGCGAGCGGGGTGATGCATTCAAGTGCTGTCTTGTCTCTTGTTCTTGGGCTCATTCCACGGAGGCCTTCTTATTACACAAAACTAGTCAGTCACACAATTTTTGCGAGAGCTGTACATTTCACCTAAAACCAAACCATTAAATAACGTTTAATGAGGAAATCTGACATGAAAGGCAAATTAAACTTTTGCCATATTTTCCTGATTTGTGCTTTTTAAGGTGTGGATGAAAGAACATTCTTTACTAGTGAGGTGTGTATCTGCAGTTTACTTCAAAGCTCCACCTAAAAAAAAACTGCCAAAGCAGCAGATAATGCTGATGATGCAAACCTGCAATAGACAAAAGCAGATTGGAGAGCAGAGCACATTGTTTATTTGCAAACAAGTTGATCAAAAGAAAAAAGAGACTAAACCAGACAGACAGTTTCCTCTAAAATAATGCTTTTTCAGTTATAATCTACCACAATCTGATTGGTCAAACTGAGTTGGTACAAAAGTTTTCAATTGACACTACTTTCTGCGTCAGCTCAGTTAATGCAAAGGAGGATTACAAACTGAGAATAGTTCCCACAGTTAACACACAGAGAAGGGAGTGTTATAACATGGAGCTTTGTGGCAAAGAAAATTTGTTGGTACAATACTGCTGCTTTTGTGCTTCTGAAAGTAGCTGAGGGCTGACTTCCAGTTTGATTGGAGACATGTTTTAGCATGACAGCAACGGCCAAAGATTACATTTATTTGTGTAGCACATACAAGCACCTCCATTTTGTTTCAAAGACCCATACATAACATTCAATAAGACAACATAAAAGAGAGAAAGCAACATACAAGAGTAACAAATTTAATTCAAATAAAAAATGACAACTTTTGGTTTTACTCTAAATATGACAACAAAATTAAACCATTAAAAATGTGTATCACACTAAATCAGAGTACTTCAATGTAATATTTTGTAGGCTATTTTATAAAAAATAAATCAAATTACCAATCTTTTTTATTTTCTTCGTTACAGGCTTTCATTGATTAGAAAATCCAATTATCAAATAATGAACAGACTGGATTACTTGAGATTTTCTAAAGTTTGCTTTAAAGACAGTACTTTGCAGAGATTGTAGTGTAGGGTTTAGTAAATTGAGTGCTTTAAGAGCTATATATATATATATATATATATATATATATATATATATATATATATATATATATATGTATATATATATTACCTCTACTTATGACCAATAAGCTGTGATACTCTAGCACCCTGCCTGGTCTTTATTGTGCTTTAATCAGAAGATTCTAGGATTCTTTGTTTATTAGGGCATTGTACACACTGCGTTTTGATCCAGAAAACAGTCAGGTTTATAAAAATAAGAATTTATTTTACAAACAATTAAAACATGACAGGCCTAAATAGTTTGCATTTGTATTATTATTTACTGTGATGGATGGAACTAGATGTGATGCATGAACCTATGTGTGAATGCGATGTTAGTCAGAACTTCTGTATCTAGGAGAGCTGAGTTCTGGATGTAAAAGAATTTGGTTTGTGTTAAGCTATGAGTTGATTATTATCAAAAACACATCAGACGCTATCTGTCATGTCTACATATCCACTCGAAGACCCTCGTGATAGATCCGGAATGTCGAAGTCCTCGGACTTCCAGGCACCGAGGTCCGTAGAAGAAACTGCGGCCCCACTAAACCGGTCTTAGAGTTGTCTCCAGGTCACAACAGACGGATGGAACCACGCGTCTGGGACTCTTAAGGAGTCTAAACAATATTAGCTTGTTCTGCGGGAACTGTTTTGTTGTATCAGCTTCGCAGGTGCAAAAAGGGTTTGACGACATGTCAATGGCTTTGGTGGTTAAAGAGGTGTGCTGCAGGTGGCCGGTCTGAAGCTTCTCTAGAACTGAGGGAAAACCAGAGTAATCTGGTTTTAATGTTCTCATGTTATGATTGTGTAGCCAACCAGAGGTTGACACGTTTGAGGATTATTACCAAGAATCTCAGAAACACGCCTTCTTTGATACAGGAGGCTCTGATCTGAGGTAAAGCCTATTTATGTGTCAGGGGCTTAACTTTACCTTACTTTTGTTCTTGTGTGAGTGCAAATGGGTATGACCTCGTCAAGTAAACATGCAATCAATCACTGAGAACAGATTAATGAAACATTTAATTATTTTATAATTATTATGAGTAACAATAAACAAACATTTATTTACTGATTATCTAACTTATAAGTTTTAGAAGATCATATTTAATTTTTAAATCTTCTTTCTCCTTTCTTCTGTGAAGCAAGGTGCTCTGTGAAGGACCTTGAGGAGAGAGTGTTAATGTTGTGATTTCATGATCTCTGTCAGAGCTGTAGGCTCTGAGCTCCAGCTGGTGGGATGAAGGCAGGCTGTTTTAAAGGGAACACACACAGTCTTGTGTCTCCTTTTTGACCAGACATTGGATGGTCAAACAATACCTATAAGCTGACCATTTGTGGACATTACAGTAGTTTGATTATAACTAAGAACTTAATTCTGTGTAATTCAGATATGTGGTGCTTTGTATATGACTGATTCGGTACTGTTGTTTTCTGCTGTTATTTAACATTTTTAACCTATTTTAATGGATCTTATCTCTGGAATTGCTAAAAACCACTGGCAGCTGCTCACTGAGCAGAAAAGATCAGATAATGCCCCCCAGTATTGGGTTGAGCGTGTTAAACGTCCAGAAAAATCACAGCATACATGGATATTAAAGCCTCAGACAATCAAAAAATGGTCAAGAATTACAGCAACTCTGGATGTAAAGTGAAGACGTCCTGAGTGTAATCCTTGATGGCCTTTAGGGGGAGATAGTGAGTAAAACACAGGGGTTCAAGCTGCTCTTCAAATGAACAAATTAAGATTTTATTTCAGTTGCATTTTAACAATTTATGTCTTTTTAATTTGAACACATTATGTATTTATGTCAATAGTCTTATGTCTATCGGATTTGGTTGAAGCCAAAGATTATTTTTTTCTGTCTTAAGGATCTGCAAGATGCATATGGCCAAATTAAAGGGATACAACTAACTAAAATAATTAAAATTAAAATATATATAAAAAATAAAATAGTAGAATAAAGCAAGATAAAATATGTGGGGCAGGATAGTTGGATGTTGTGACATTCCGGTCTAAAAACATCCTAACAGTTTTAAGGTACAATGCAGAGAATTTGTTCTGTGCTAATGCCTTAAATGCTGCAACCCAAAGATGATTGCTTTTTTGGATCTAAAACAAACTGGAGATGGAAAGAGGGTTAAAGTAAAAAAAAAAATAGAGTAAACAAAATATGCCTATAATTCAGTAAGGCCTAAACAACGACCCTTCCTAATTTCATCCAGAAGTAAAGATTCAGCTGTGAAGTGAGAGGAAGTTTAGGAATGCTGAGGACAGCAACCCTAAAGCCCCAAACCCATTTAGGCTAGTGTTACAAGAAGATTGATCTGCTGTCAGGACTTTAATAAAACCTGTGATGGATTTAGTGATGAATGAATGAATGAATGAATCATTTCAAAAACATTTTAACCCATGGCCCAAGCTTTGACTTAACTGGTTAGAAGAAAAGGAAAGTAAACAGAACTGAAGGTCAACATTAGGAGAGTCACAGCTCATAAACAAAAGGAGGATGTGAAGTTTCCATTATGTTTCAAATATTGTGCATAGACAATTTAAAGAGATGTTTATTTCTACCTCTTTGATGCCATAATTGTTTTATTTAACACAAAAACACTATATTCTAAGTTGAAATACCATAAAGTGCATTACATAAAACTGAATTGTCATACTTCAAATGTGTTTATTGTACTTCTTACCATAATTTTTCAAAATAAAACATTTTGAAGACTAATAGTCTTCTTTCAGTGCACCCCATTACCAAATGAAGCACAGGACCAGAACCCAGTGGTTGTAGAACCACATCTAAAAGTATTGAACCAACTTGATCCATTTTATATTATTTTATTACATTGATCAACTTTTTTCCACATCATCTGTAGACCACAAGAGGGCTTCATCCACCCATATAACATATTATAGAACATGTGAGCCTAAATAGTTTGCATTTGTATTATTATTATTATTACTATTATTATTATTATTATTATTATTATTATTATTATTATTATTATTATTATAGGACAGCATAGCTCAGGAGGTAGAGCGGGTTGGCCAGTAATTGGAAGGTTGCAGGTTCCGACCAGAAAATGCTGCTGTTGTGTCTTTGGGCAAGACCATCGACATATATATATATATATATATATATATATATATATATATATATATATATATATATATATATATATATATATATATATATATATATATATATATATATATATATATATATATATGGACAATGGGTTTCCATAGATTCCAATAATAAGTTTTTGTACTAAAATGGGAGGTGGCCACCACCGCCATTTTGACCGTGTCACAGGTTCCGTCGAGCCCAGACAATTCCTTAAAATGGAAGAGAAGTGGAGCTGAGGGTGGGGCTATAAGGCTGGGATCAACTGACGACACCCGGTTGAACTAGCTACAAGCTAACCTGAAGCTAACCCAAAGCTATCGCGGAGGTGGGAGCTAAGCTAACGGACGTAGCAACCTAGCTACAACCGGAGTTAACTGTGCACGACACCAGAGCTTCTGAGTCAGAGATACGCCGGGCTGACCGCTGGGTAAAACCGGGTGGAACACAGAGGTCTCCGAGACCTCCACAAGCCGGCAGCCGCACAGCAGACAAGCGCCGCTGCAATCTGAGATGCGCAGAGCTGCCGCTCGGGAGAATGGTAAATGGTAAATGGCCTGTATTTGATATAGCGCCTTCTAGAGTCCTGGAACCCCCCAAGGCGCTTTACAACACAATCAGTCATTCACCCATTCACACACTGGTGGGGATGAGCTACAATGTAGCCACAGCTGCCCTGGGGCGCACTGACAGAGGCGAGGCTGCCTAGCACTGGCGCCACCGGT